TGAAACAATTCAGAAGACTGATTAACAGCTTTGTTTGAAAACATAAAGCAAATGACATTTCTGTTTGATTTTGTTATTACATATATTCAGGAAAATATAAATATATGTGTCATAGTTCTTCAGGATCTTTACTTTGGTCTTTGTTACTCTCAGTTTATTTGCATAATTTGAGATCTTCTTTAGGAAGTTTGAGTCTGGCTAATCTGCCATCTATGTTTGGTTTTCAAAATAAGATGAATTTATTACTTTATTATGTACATCTCTTTCACAGCAGTTTCACCAAACATGACAATTAAAGACAATGAAGTGACAGATGGTGGGTGTGAGCTGGTTATCATCTCTTGTCATACAATAAAATGTGTTTTCCTCTGAAGTTACTTTGCTGGGAATCAATACCATTGAATTATTATTATTTGCAGTGTAAAATGTACCATGATATGTTTAAATTACTAATTCAAATGTAGCTATTTTTGTATGTAGCTTTATATGACATGAACAGCAAAATAATAAAAAAAATCATTCAGAAGTATTTCAGTTAAATAATTGTCCTAAAAAATTTTTGTTGTGGCGCTAGGAAAAATGCAAGTGTCTGAATACCTCATTCCAGCATTAGCAGCAACTAACGGGGCATCAATACTTCTCTTCATTTGGCTCTTCTTAAAAAAGAACAGATCAGGTAAGAATGATTGTAAAAATGCTGCTACAAAGTAGCAACAACAATCTATATTTATCCACATATTAAAATAATACGGAACTGCAATTAAATTTTTATGTTGCAAATTGAAGGTCACATTACATATTCGCATATATTTCTTGCAGGTGTGACACATGAAGCCAAGGATGCAGATGACAAAGTATGTGGTAATTAAACAGTTTGAAGAAATTACAATATTTCATTAATCTATGAAAAAACTCAATATTCTCTACATCTGTCATAGACTTAATGTGCTCTCTAATTAGTGCTTAAATGATGACATGTTTACTATATGACTTCTCTGGTTAAACAACAGACAGATGAAGTAAACTGCGCTGCTCTGACCTTTCACAACAAGCAGAGGAGAACCATACAGAAGAAGACCAATGTGGACACAACAGTTGTATATAGAGCTGTATGACACCAAGAAGAATTACAACTCAGTGCAAAAACTAGTTCCTATCTTATGTAAATACAATGATAATGGAAAGTGCAACGCTTGCTGTATAGTAATTCAGCCATATTTTAGCACTGATTCAGTGATTCATACATAATTTTTTTTTAAATAAATAGATAAATAAAAAATAATTACCATTTACTTCTAAATAGTGTGCCATTACGAGTTTAGGAATGATGGTGATATTGAGTATACTGTTTTGCTACTCTGTCTCCACCGCTGGTCTTTAGGGAAAGAATACATTTGACATGAATAATTCAACAATAATTTAACACTGTTGTTAACTAACAATGAAATAATTGGTCCAAACAGTTAATCAAGTAATAATTAATTTATTTGATTGTTTTTTTCCAATTTTAATCCACAGATAACATAAAAAACCACTTATAGTATCTACCAACTTCCAGCCTATGCATAACCAGGTACATACAGGCACAGATACAGGTATTTATGACATTAAACAGATACAAAAACAGATACAGATAGTGGTGTTACAACACTTAGACCCAATCCCATTTCATCCCTTGCCCCTACCACTTAACCCTTAGCCCTCAGTTTTGTTGAAATGAATGGGCATGGCAAAGGGTTAGGTCTACATGGCCCTGCATGACCCAGGTTTTTTAGAGGCACACTCCAAACCGAGCGTCATGAGGAAAAAAAGAAAAAACGGCAAGATGGCTGTGTAAGCGACCAAAGAAACCCCACAAACTCTACATTTACAAAAAAGTATTTTTTCCTATTTTAATGTCGTTTCGATGTATTATAGTACTTTTCTTCATAACAAGCACATATGCTAACAGTATGCTAATGTCTCGGTAGTTGGTTAGCTAAATTTCCTGTTTCACTTTAAATAGTCCAGCAGTGCTGCTAAAGCGACAGAATGTAACTGCTTTAAGGTGGAACAGGAAAATTGGAACAAGAAGCTGGCGAATAGCTGACTTCAGCTTCATATAAACAAAGAATTAGCGGAGGGCAATAATAAATATTCGTCAAACCTTACCCTCACCCCCCCACCCCCCAGTGACTCCGTTCCAAGGGGGAAGGTGACACTCGAAAACAAGGGGTAGGGGTAAAAACAAGAAATGGGATTGGGCCTTGTTAGCATTTGGATATATTGCTCCTGTATTATTAGCCAGGAAGGTTGCTGCCATTGGTTACCTCTTAAAGGGGAACACAGGACACATCTCACAAAGCACATTAAATTTAGTTACTTCAGTTCCATCTTCAAAAAAAACTAACAAATGAAAATGCAGTTAACTCTTATTATGACAGCTGTTAATAACCCAGGTTTTACCCTGCTGCAGCTGCAGTTCTAACCTGCACAAGCCTGCAAGGTCTACCTATATAGGTTGTCCCAATTCTCATTTTGCTGTTTAAAAGCATGCTCTAGGGGACCCTTTGCCACACTTAGTGTGGCTTTTGACAATACAGACTCAAGAGCAGCTTCCTACCCAAAATTCTAGGAGATGTCAGAGTGGATGGGTTTGTTTAAAGCAGCCTGGCCAACATAGTGGAGAAGATATTCCGGTGTGAATTAAATTGCTCTTGTTTATGAATTTAACTTGTTATAGATCTGCATGATGATTATAATCTGGATTGAGCCACTGTAGCAAATTATCTTATTAGAAAAAATTGTTTGAATGCTCACAATGGATATGGTACATGCATAGCCAATAGGTTTACACAATGTGTCCTAAATGGATGCTTTTAAACCTAGCCACCCAAAAGATGGGATGGTATGTGAAGCTGACGCAGAGCAAACACAGTGACAGTTTGTTGAGGCTTAATATTTGACAAGTAAAAGAAAGTAATAAAAGCATTGTTCAGTAACGTTTCTGACTGTAGTGTATACTCTACAGTCAGACTGCCACAAAACTGTGATAAATCTAGTATTAAAAAAGAACATGCTGCACCAGGTATGTTCAACCAGTGCAGCTCGACAGCCACACTTCTACAACAATCTCATCTGTATTAAGTAGAGTAAATGTCATTTTAATGTAGGATACCATAACCCTACATGTTTAAGTTACATTTTGTTCACATGTGGAAATACTAGTTTCTTGCTATGGTTTGCATTAAATAGATCAATAAGTGAGCAAAGTGGGGTTTTTTTTGTTGTTTTTTTTTTTTTGTTGTTTTTTTTTAAATGGCATCACTGGGGGCTATGGCTGCAGTAACTTGGTAACCTGGAGTACAGGCCTAGATTTGAGTGTGTTTCAACTTTTTGTCATTACTTATCTTCTTATAACTTATCATTGCGTGATATAGCCTAGACCTACGTCTTTCTATCAGCACTTCAAAACATAGTAATGCTCCCCAAGTCACAGAAAACCTAACACCTGAACTGGTGCAACGGTAAATTTCACCAGTAAGAAGCCAAAGTGGACTGAATAATATCTCCATAATGTTACAAGCATCATCACACAACAAACTCTGTGGATTAAGCAAAGCAATGTTTACTTTGAGCATCATGGTAAACATCACAACTACTGTTGTAAGAGTTGCTATGTGTCAGCGCCTGTGCTTTGTGTGTTTTCTCTCCTCTCTCGGTCACTCTTCTCTTTCCTTCATACGTTGTTTGATGTGTCAATCACTATTACCTCATGGACGTCATAGCTTTAGTCTCGCTATTTTTAGCCCCTGCTAGCTTCAGATCTCCTGATGGGCCCTGTTAGCCTTTGTTAGCCAGGTCTCTTCCTGTTACTTCCTGTAGAGTGACTTTGTTGTTGGTCTGTAAATGTTTGTCGGGTTGTACTGGCTCTAAATTCTCTTAACCTGCTGCTTTTCTCCTGGGAGGGAGGACAGGTTAGACTGTGCGTGCACCTACATTTACACCAGAAGGTATGTCACTGTCTAAGCACACTAGATCAGAGGCAGGTGCCACTCCCTGGGTGTTTTTCTTAGCTTGGCATAGAGTAGCAGCTAGAGTCCTCTTTAATGTTTTTGGCTAGATAACGTAGCTGTTTAACTCTTAGCAAATAGCCCAGTCTGTCAGTACAATTTTCCTATAATAAACTGCTGTTTTTCTTTGTTTATAGCTTAACATGTTTGTATGTTTGACTCATTTGTCTGTATAATAAACAGTTTTATTTGCATCACACTGGTCTCTGCACCCCTTTATTATGCTCCTCCATCCTCTTGTTATAGTCCCTCCCTCCTCTTAGACCTGAGCCTGTGGTGGGGACATAACAGGAGTACATGAAGCTGACCTCTTTGAGAAAAAATTCAGATTGCCATAAATATGCAAATATAGCAGCATACAGTTAATGTATTAAGGAGAGATCATAACAGATGCGAAGTTGTCTTGTGTTTGGCTTATTAGTGATTATCAACATGAGTGATGTGCAATCACACCACTCTTCGCCTCTCCTGCTTCTTCTCTTATCCCCCTCCCTCTTTGCTCCTCTACTCCTTCATTCCAACCCTCTTTATTCATCATAACCACTCCCTCCTTCTTCACTCACTATCAACATGATCTTCACACTCTCCACCACCCTCTGGCACTCCCGTTTGACAATATCTGATGCTACCACCCTATCCCCAGACATCCCACCTGCTAACATCCAACATGTCATACCCTTTCACTCCATTCTAGTCTGTACTTGAGAATCCTCTAAGGTTCTGACTTCAGTATGTCCTCTTTATTCTGCCCCTCTGCCTGCTCCTTCACCGCCTGCAAGATCAGCACTACGAACCTTTCCCCTCAGGTTCAAAACTGCCCAACTCTACAATGTAATTGTAACCCTACTGGCCTATCAGATCACTGCGAGTAAAAATGGCAATGCTCCACCCCACCCCTTTCCTTTATGGTACAAGAAGCAGAATTTTAGATGAATTTACAGTAGAGGAGCGGAAGGTCCTCTTTGACCCAATCTGAATATGAATGCACTATTATATCTGACTTTTCTAGTTATGACCCAGAGTGTAGGTGAGTATATGCCTTTTACGTCTTCTTAAATCTTATTGCAGGAAAGTTTAAAGAACAAAAGAAAAAGTTTAACCTGTGAAGATGGAAATTAACATTCACAGAGTTTAGAGTGTAAGGATGTGAAATTATGAAATATTTGTGAAGTTACAAATATTAGATATCTTCATTTCTCTTGATGGAGGTTAATAGATAATCACTGTATTTGTGCATCCTGTCATTTTAAGGCGGACATGCGACTGAAACTTTCATCTTACAGAAGGACTCAACTGTGAGGGTCCAGCCTGGACTCCCCACCAGTCTCGAGTGCCACGTTCTGCTAGATGGGCTCTTTTCAATATTCTGGATGAAGATTCCTCTTAATGAAGCTCCAGTCTGTATAGCTACAGCTAAAGCATTTGTGGACGAGGTGGCAATGTGTAAGCAATTTGTAAACCATTCCAGAATCAAATCCATTTGGAAGCAAAAGACTTTCAATTTGTCATTTTCATCAGTGGAACACACAGATGTGGCAACATATTTTTGCGGAACGTTTAGTTACGGACATTTTTTCTTTGGAAAAGGGACTAAGCTGATCCTTGAAGAACATGCTGGTGGTGAGTATGAAACAATTCAGAAGACTGATTAACAGCTTCGTTTGAAAACATAAAGCAAATGACATTTCTGTTTGATTTTGTTATTACATATATTCAGGAAAATATAAATATATGTGTCATAGTTCTTCAGGATCTTTACTTTGGTCTTTGTTACTCTCAGTTTATTTGCATAATTTGAGATCTTCTTTAGGAAGTTTGAGTCTGGCTAATCTGCCATCTATGTTTGGTTTTCAAAATAAGATGAATTTATTACTTTATTATGTACATCTCTTTCACAGCAGTTTCACCAAACATGACAATTAAAGACAATGAAGTGACAGATGGTGGGTGTGAGCTGGTTATCATCTCTTGTCATACAATAAAATGTGTTTTCCTCTGAAGTTACTTTGCTGGGAATCAATACCATTGAATTATTATTATTTGCAGTGTAAAATGTACCATGATATGTTTAAATTACTAATTCAAATGTAGCTATTTTTGTATGTAGCTTTATATGACATGAACAGCAAAATAATAAAAAAAAATCATTCAGAAGTATTTCAGTTAAATAATTGTCCTAAAAAAAATTGTTGTGGCGCTAGGAAAAATGCAAGTGTCTGAATACCTCATTCCAGCATTAGCAGCAACTAACGGGGCATCAATACTTCTCTTCATTTGGCTCTTCTTAAAAAAGAACAGATCAGGTAAGAATGATTGTAAAAATGCTGCTACAAAGTAGCAACAACAATCCATATTTATCCACATATTAAAATAATACGGAACTGCAATTAAATTTTTATGTTGCAAATTGAACCTCACATTACATATTCGCATATATTTCTTGCAGGTGTGACACATGAAGCCAAGGATGCAGATGACAAAGTATGTGGTAATTAAACAGTTTGAAGAAATTACAATATTTCGTTAATCTATGAAAAAAACTCAATATTCTCTACATCTGTCATAGATTTAATGTGCTCTCTAATTAGTGCTTAAATGATGACATGTTTACTATTTGACTTCTCTGGTTAAACAACAGACAGATGAAGTAAACTGCGCTGCTCTGACCTTTCACAACAAGCAGAGGAGAACCATACAGAACAAGACCAATGTGGACACAACAGTTGTATATAGAGCTGTATGACACCAAGAAGAATTACAACTCAGTGCAAAAACTAGTTCCTATCTTATGTAAATACAATGATAATGGAAAGTGCAACGCTTGCTGTATAGTAATTCTGTAAAGTCAGCCATATTTTAGCACTGATTCAGTGATTCATACATAATTTTTTTTTAAATAAATAGATAAATAAAAAATAATTACCATTTACTTCTAAATAGTGTGCCATTACGAGTTTAGGAATGATGGTGATATTGAGTATACTGTTTTGCTACTCTGTCTCCACCGCTGGTCTTTAGGGAAAGAATACATTTGACATGAATAATTCAACAATAATTTAACACTGTTGTTAACTAACAATGAAATAATTGGTCCAAACAGTTAATCAAGTAATAATTAATTTATTTGATTGTTTTTTTTCCAATTTTAATCCACAGATAACATAAAAAACCACTTATAGTATCTACCAACTTCCAGCCTATGCATAACCAGGTACATACAGGCACAGATACAGGTATTTATGACATTAAACAGACACAAAAACAGATACAGATAGTGGTGTTACAACACTTAGACCCAATCCCATTTCATCCCTTGCCCCTACCACTTAACCCTTAGCCCTCAGTTTTGTTGAGATGAATGGGCATGGCAAAGGGTTAGGTCTACATGGCCCTGCATGACCCAGGTTTTTTAGAGGCACACTCCAAACCGAGCGTCATGAGGAAAAAAAGAAAAAACGGCAAGATGGCTGTGTAAGCGACCAAAGAAACCCCACAAACTCTACATTTACAAAAAAGTATTTTTTCCTATTTTAATGTCGTTTCGATGTATTATAGTACTTTTCTTCATAACAAGCACATATGCTAACAGTATGCTAATGTCTCGGTAGTTGGTTAGCTAAATTTCCTGCTCCACTTTAAATAGTCCAGCAGTGCTGCTAAAGCGACAGAATGTAACTGCTTTAAGGTGGAACAGGAAAATTGGAACAAGAAGCTGGCGAATAGCTGACTTCAGCTTCATATAAACAAAGAATTAGCGGAGGGCAATAATAAATATTCGTCAAACCTTACCCTCACCCCCCCACCCCCCAGTGACTCCGTTCCAAGGGGGAAGGTGACACTCGAAAACAAGGGGTAGGGGTAAAAACAAGAAATGGGATTGGGCCTTGCTAGCATTTGGATATATTGCTCCTGTATTATTAGCCAGGAAGGTTGCTGCCATTGGTTACCTCTTAAAGGGGAACACAGGACACATCTCACAAAGCACATTAAATTTAGTTACTTCAGTTCCATCTTCAAAAAAAACTAACAAATGAAAATGCAGTTAACTCTTATTATGACAGCTGTTAATAACCCAGGTTTTACCCTGCTGCAGCTGCAGTTCTAACCTGCACAAGCCTGCAAGGTCTACATATATAGGTTGTCCCAATTCTCATTTTGCTGTTTAAAAGCATGCTCTAGGGGACCCTTTGCCACACTTAGTGTGGCTTTTGACAATACAGACTCAAGAGCAGCTTCCTACCCAAAATTCTAGGAGATGTCAGAGTGGATGGGTTTGTTTAAAGCAGCCTGGCCAACATAGTGGAGAAGATATTCCGGTGTGAATTAAATTGCTCTTGTTTATGAATTTAACTTGTTATAGATCTGCATGATGATTATAATCTGGATTGAGCCACTGTAGCAAATTATCTTATTAGAAAAAATTGTTTGAATGCTCACAATGGATATGGTACATGCATAGCCAATAGGTTTACACAATGTGTCCTAAATGGATGCTTTTAAACCTAGCCACCCAAAAGATGGGATGGTATGTGAAGCTGACGCAGAGCAAACACAGTGACAGTTTGTTGAGGCTTAATATTTGACAAGTAAAAGAAAGTAATAAAAGCATTGTTCAGTAACGTTTCTGACTGTAGTGTATACTCTACAGTCAGACTGCCACAAAACTGTGATAAATCTAGTATTAAAAAAGAACATGCTGCACCAGGTATGTTCAACCAGTGCAGCTCGACAGCCACACTTCTACAACAATCTCATCTGTATTAAGTAGAGTAAATGTCATTTTAATGTAGGATACCATAACCCTACATGTTTAAGTTACATTTTGTTCACATGTGGAAATACTAGTTTCTTGCTATGGTTTGCATTAAATAGATCAATAAGTGAGCAAAGTGGGGTTTTTTTTTGTTGTTGTTTTTTTTTGTTGTTTTTTTTTAAATGGCATCACTGGGGGCTATGGCTGCAGTAACTTGGTAACCTGGAGTACAGGCCTAGATTTGAGTGTGTTTCAACTTTTTGTCATTACTTATCTTCTTATAACTTATCATTGCGTGATATAGCCTAGACCTACGTCTTTCTATCAGCACTTCAAAACATAGTAATGCTCCCCAAGTCACAGAAAACCTAACACCTGAACTGGTGCAATGGTAAATTTCACCAGTAAGAAGCCAAAGTGGACTGAATAATATCTCCATAATGTTACAAGCATCATCACACAACAAACTCTGTGGATTAAGCAAAGCAATGTTTACTTTGAGCATCATGGTAAACATCACAACTACTGTTGTAAGAGTTGCTATGTGTCAGCGCCTGTGCTTTGTGTGTTTTCTCTCCTCTCTCGGTCACTCTTCTCTTTCCTTCATACGTTGTTTGATGTGTCAATCACTATTACCTCATGGACGTCATAGCTTTAGTCTCGCTATTTTTAGCCCCTGCTAGCTTCAGATCTCCTGATGGCCCTGTTAGCCTTTGTTAGCCAGGTCTCTTCCTGTTACTTCCTGTAGAGTGACTTTGTTGTTGGTCTGTAAATGTTTGTCGGGTTGTACTGGCTCTAAATTCTCTTAACCTGCTGCTTTTCTCCTGGGAGGGAGGACAGGTTAGACTGTGCGTGCACCTACATTTACACCAGAAGGTATGTCACTGTCTAAGCACACTAGATCAGAGGCAGGTGCCACTCCCTGGGTGTTTTTCTTAGCTTGGCATAGAGTAGCAGCTAGAGTCCTCTTTAATGTTTTTGGCTAGGTAACGTAGCTGTTTAACTCTTAGCAAATAGCCCAGTCTGTCAGTACAATTTTCCTATAATAAACTGCTGTTTTTCTTTGTTTATAGCTTAACATGTTTGTATGTTTGACTCATTTGTCTGTATAATAAACAGTTTTATTTGCATCACACTGGTCTCTGCACCCCTTTATTATGCTCCTCCATCCTCTTGTTATAGTCCCTCCCTCCTCTTAGACCTGAGCCTGTGGTGGGGACATAACAGGAGTACATGAAGCTGACCTCTTTGAGAAAAAATTCAGATTGCCATAAATATGCAAATATAGCAGCATACAGTTAATGTATTAAGGAGAGATCATAACAGATGCGAAGTTGTCTTGTGTTTGGCTTATTAGTGATTATCAACATGAGTGATGTGCAATCACACCACTCTTCGCCTCTCCTGCTTCTTCTCTTATCCCCCTCCCTCTTTGCTCCTCTACTCCTTCATTCCAACCCTCTTTATTCATCATAACCACTCCCTCCTTCTTCACTCACTATCAACATGATCTTCACACTCTCCACCACCCTCTGGCACTCCCGTTTGACAATATCTGATGCTACCACCCTATCCCCAGACATCCCACCTGCTAACATCCAACATGTCATACCCTTTCACTCCATTCTAGTCTGTACTTGAGAATCCTCTAAGGTTCTGACTTCAGTATGTCCTCTTTATTCTGCCCCTCTGCCTGCTCCTTCACCGCCTGCAAGATCAGCACTACGAACCTTTCCCCTCAGGTTCAAAACTGCCCAACTCTACAATGTAATTGTAACCCTACTGGCCTATCAGATCACTGCGAGTAAAAATGGCAATGCTCCACCCCACCCCTTTCCTTTATGGTACAAGAAGCAGAATTTTAGATGAATTTACAGTAGAGGAGCGGAAGGTCCTCTTTGACCCAATCTGAATATGACTGCACTATTATATCTGACTTTTCTAGTTATGACCCAGAGTGTAGGTGAGTATATGCCTTTTACGTCTTCTTAAATCTTATTGCAGGAAAGTTTAAAGAACAAAAGAAAAAGTTTAACCTGTAAAGATGGAAATTAACATTCACAGAGTTTAGAGTGTAAGGATGTGAAATTATGAAATATTTGTGAAGTTACAAATATTAGATATCTTCATTTCTCTTGATGGAGGTTAACAGATAATCACTGTATTTGTGCATCCTGTCATTTTAAGGCGGACATGCGACTGAAACTTTCATCTTACAGAAGTACTCAACTGTGAGGGTCCAGCCTGGACTCCCCACCAGTCTCGAGTGCCACGTTCTGCTAGATGGGCTCTTTTCAATATTCTGGATGAAGATTCCTCTTAATGAAGCTCCAGTCTGTATAGCTACAGCTAAAGCATTTGTGGACGAGGTGGCAATGTGTAAGCAATTTGTAAACCATTCCAGAATCAAATCCATTTGGAAGCAAAAGACTTTCAATTTGTTATTTTCATCAGTGGAACACACAGATGTGGCAACATATTTTTGCGGAACGTTTAGTTACGGACATTTTTTCTTTGGAAAAGGGACTAAGCTGATCCTTGAAGAACATGCTGGTGGTGAGTATGAAACAATTCAGAGGACTGATTAACAGCTTCGTTTGAAAACATAAAGCAAATGACATTTCTGTTTGATTTTGTTATTACATATATTCAGGAAAATATAAATATATGTGTCATAGTTCTTCAGGATCTTTACTTTGGTCTTTGTTACTCTCAGTTTATTTGCATAATTTGAGATCTTCTTTAGGAAGTTTGAGTCTGGCTAATCTGCCATCTATGTTTGGTTTTCAAAATAAGATGAATTTATTACTTTATTATGTACATCTCTTTCACAGCAGTTTCACCAAACATGACAATTAAAGACAATGAAGTGACAGATGGTGGGTGTGAGCTGGTTATCATCTCTTGTCATACAATAAAATGTGTTTTCCTCTAAAGTTACTTTGCTGGGAATCAATACCATTGAATTATTATTATTTGCAGTGTAAAATGTACCATGATATGTTTAAATTACTAATTCAAATGTAGCTATTTTTGTATGTAGCTTTATATGACATGAACGGCAAAATAAAAAAAAAAAACATTCAGAAGTATTTCAGTTAAATAATTGTCCTAAAAAATTTTTGTTGTGGCGCTAGGAAAAATGCAAGTGTCTGAATACCTCATTCCAGTATTAGCAGCAACTAACGGGGCATCAATACTTCTCTTCATTTGGCTCTTCTTAAAAAAGAACAGATCAGGTAAGAATGATTGTAAAAATGCTGCTACAAAGTAGCAACAACAATCTATATTTATCCACATATTAAAATAATACGGAACTGCAATTAAATTTTTATGTTGCAAATTGAACGTCGCCTTACATATTCGCATATATTTCTTGCAGGTGTGACACATGAAGCCAAGGATGCAGATGACAAAGTATGTGGTAATTAAACAGTTTGAAGAAATTACAATATTTCGTTAATCTATGAAAAAAACTCAATATTCTCTACATCTGTCATAGATTTAATGTGCTCTCTAATTAGTGCTTAAATGATGACATGTTTACTATTTGACTTCTCTGGTTAAACAACAGACAGATGAAGTAAACTGCGCTGCTCTGACCTTTCACAACAAGCAGAGGAGAACCATACAGAACAAGACCAATGTGGACACAACAGTTGTATATAGAGCTGTATGACACCAAGAAGAATTACAACTCAGTGCAAAAACTAGTTCCTATCTTATGTAAATACAATGATAATGGAAAGTGCAACGCTTGCTGTATAGTAATTCTGTAAAGTCAGCCATATTTTAGCACTGATTCAGTGATTCATACATAAAATTTTTTTTAAATAAATAGATAAATAAAAAATAATTACCATTTACTTCTAAATAGTGTGCCATTACGAGTTTAGGAATGATGGTGATATTGAGTATACTGTTTTGCTACTCTGTCTCCACCGCTGGTCTTTAGGGAAAGAATACATTTGACATGAATAATTCAACAATAATTTAACACCGTTGTTAACTAACAATGAAATAATTGGTCCAAACAGTTAATCAAGTAATAATTAATTCATTTGACTTTTTTTTTCCAATTTTAATCCACAGATAACATAAAAAAACACTTATAGTATCTACCAACTTCCAGCCTATGCATAACCAGGTACATACAGGCACAGATACAGGTATTTATGACATTAAACAGATACAAAAACAGATACAGATAGTGGTGTTACAACACTTAGACCCAATCCCATTTCATCCCTTGCCCCTACCACTTAACCCTTAGCCCTCAGTTTTGTTGAAATGAATGGGCATGGCAAAGGGTTAGGTCTACATGGCCCTGCATGACCCAGGTTTTTTAGAGGCACACTCCAAATGGAGCGTCATGAGGAAAAAAAGAAAAAATGGCAAGATGGCTGTGTAAGCGACCAAAGAAACCCCACAAACTCTACATTTACAAAAAAGTATTTTTTCCTATTTTAATGTCGTTTCGATGTATTATAGTACTTTTCTTCATAACAAGCACATATGCTAACAGTATGCTAATGTCTCGGTAGTTGGTTAGCTAAATTTCCTGTTTCACTTTAAATAGTCCAGCAGTGCTGCTAAAGCGACAGAATGTAACTGCTGCTCCATTTAAGGTGGAACAGGACAATTGGAACAAGAAGCTGGCGAATAGCTGACTTCAGCTTCATATAAACAAAGAATTAGCGGAGGGCAATAATAAATATTCGTCAAACCTTACCCTCACCCCCCCCACCCCCCAGTGACTCCGTTCCAAGGGGGAAGGTGACACTCGAAAACAAGGGGTAGGGGTAAAAACAAGAAATGGGATTGGGCCTTGTTAGCATTTGGATATATTGCTCCTGTATTATTAGCCAGGAAGGTTGCTGCCATTGGTTACCTCTTAAAGGGGAACACAGGACACATCTCACAAAGCACATTAAATTTAGTTACTTCAGTTCCATCTTCAAAAAAAACTAACAAATGAAAATGCAGTTAACTCTTATTATGACAGCTGTTAATAACCCAGGTTTTACCCTGCTGCAGCTGCAGTTCTAACCTGCACAAGCCTGCAAGGTCTACCTATATAGGTTGTCCCAATTCTCATTTTGCTGTTTAAAAGCATGCTCTAGGGGACCCTTTGCCACACTTAGTGAGGCTTTTGACAATACAGACTCAAGAGCAGCTTCCTACCCAAAATTCTAGGAGATGTCAGAGTGGATGGGTTTGTTTAAAGCAGCCTGGCCAACATAGTGGAGAAGATATTCCGGTGTGAATTAAATTGCTCTTGTTTATGAATTTAACTTGTTATAGATCTGCATGATGATTATAATCTGGATTGAGCCACTGTAGCAAATTATCTTATTAGAAAAAATTGTTTGAATGCTCACAATGGATATGGTACATGCATAGCCAATAGGTTTACACAATGTGTCCTAAATGGATGCTTTTAAACCTAGCCACCCAAAAGATGGGATGGTATGTGAAGCTGACGCAGAGCAAACACAGTGACAGTTTGTTGAGGCTTAATATTTGACAAGTAAAAGAAAGTAATAAAAGCATTGTTCAGTAACGTTTCTGACTGTAGTGTATACTCTACAGTCAGACTGCCACAAAACTGTGATAAATCTAGTATTAAAAAAGAACATGCTGCACCAGGTATGTTCAACCAGTGCAGCTCGACAGCCACACTTCTACAACAATCTCATCTGTATTAAGTAGAGTAAATGTCATTTTAATGTAGGATACCATAACCCTACATGTTTAAGTTACATTTTGTTCACATGTGGAAATACTAGTTTCTTGCTATGGTTTGCATTAAATAGATCAATAAGTGAGCAAAGTGGGGTTTTTTTTGTTGTTTTGTTTTTTTTTAAATGGCATCACTGGGGGCTATGGCTGCAGTAACTTGGTAACCTGGAGTACAGGCCTAGATTTGAGTGTGTTTCAACTTTTTGTCATTACTTATCTTCTTATAACTTATCATTGCGTGATATAGCCTAGACCTACGTCTTTCTATCAGCACTTCAAAACATAGTAATGCTCCCCAAGTCACAGAAAACCTAACACCTGAACTGGTGCAACGGTAAATTTCACCAGTAAGAAGCCAAAGTGGACTGAATAATATCTCCATAATGTTACAAGCATCATCACACAACAAACTCTGTGGATTAAGCAAAGCAATGTTTACTTTGAGCATCATGGTAAACATCACAACTACTGTTGTAAGAGTTGCTATGTGTCAGCGCCTGTGCTTTGTGTGTTTTCTCTCCTCTCTCGGTCACTCTTCTCTTTCCTTCATACGTTGTTTGATGTGTCAATCACTATTACCTCATGGACGTCATAGCTTTAGTCTCGCTATTTTTAGCCCCTGCTAGCTTCAGATCTCCTGATGGCCCTGTTAGCCTTTGTTAGCCAGGTCTCTTCCTGTTACTTCCTGTAGAGTGACTTTGTTGTTGGTCTGTAAATGTTTGTCGGGTTGTACTGGCTCTAAATTCTCTTAACCTGCTGCTTTTCTCCTGGGAGGGAGGACAGGTTAGACTGTGCGTGCACCTACATTTACACCAGAAGGTATGTCACTGTCTAAGCACACTAGATCAGAGGCAGGTGCCACTCCCTGGGTGTTTTTCTTAGCTTGGCATAGAGTAGCAGCTAGAGTCCTCTTTAATGTTTTTGGCTAGGTAACGTAGCTGTTTAACTCTTAGCAAATAGCCCAGTCTGTCAGTACAATTTTCCTATAATAAACTGCTGTTTTTCTTTGTTTATAGCTTAACATGTTTGTATGTTTGACTCATTTGTCTGTATAATAAACAGTTTTATTTGCATCACACTGGTCTCTGCACCCCTTTATTATGCTCCTCCATCCTCTTGTTATAGTCCCTCCCTCCTCTTAGACCTGAGCCTGTGGTGGGGACATAACAGGAGTACATGAAGCTGACCTCTTTGAGAAAAAATTCAGATTGCCATAAATATGCAAATATAGCAGCATACAGTTAATGTATTAAGGAGAGATCATAACAGATGCGAAGTTGTCTTGTGTTTGGCTTATTAGTGATTATCAACATGAGTGATGTTCAATCACACCACTCTTCTCCTCTCCTGCTTCTTCTCTTATCCCCCTCCCTCTTTGCTCCTCTACTCCTTCATTCCAACCCTCTTTATTCATCATAACCACTCCCTCCTTCTTCACTCACTATCAACATGATCTTCACACTCTCCACCACCCTCTGGCACTCCCGTTTGACAATATCTGATGCTACCACCCTATCCCCAGACATCCCACCTGCTAACATCCAACATGTCATACCCTTTCACTCCATTCTAGTCTGTACTTGAGAATCCTCTAAGGTTCTGACTTCAGTATGTCCTCTTTATTCTGCCCCTCTGCCTGCTCCTTCACCGCCTGCAAGATCAGCACTACGAACCTTTCCCCTCAGGTTCAAAACTGCCCAACTCTACAATGTAATTGTAACCCTACTGGCCTATCAGATCACTGCGAGTAAAAATGGCAATGCTCCACCCCACCCCTTTCCTTTATGGTACAAGAAGCAGAATTTTAGATGAATTTACAGTAGAGGAGCGGAAGGTCCTCTTTGACCCAATCTGAATATGACTGCACTATTATATCTGACTTTTCTAGTTATGACCCAGAGTGTAGGTGAGTATATGCCTTTTACGTCTTCTTAAATCTTATTGCAGGAAAGTTTAAAGAACAAAAGAAAAAGTTTAACCTTTAAAGATGGAAATTAACATTCACAGAGTTTAGAGTGTAAGGATGTGAAATTATGAAATATTTGTGAAGTTACAAATATTAGATATCTTCATTTCTCTTGATGGAGGTTAATAGATAATCACTGTATTTGTGCATCATGTCATTTTAAGGCGGACATGCGACGGAAACTTTCATCTTACAGAAGGACTCAACTGTGAGGGTCCAGCCTGGACTCCCCACCAGTCTCGAGTGCCACGTTCTGCTAGATGGGCTCTTTTCAATATTCTGGATGAAGATTCCTCTTAATGAAGCTCCAGTCTGTATAGCTACAGCTAAAGCATTTGTGGACGAGGTGGCAATGTGTAAGCAATTTGTAAACCATTCCAGAATCAAATCCATTTGGAAGCAAAAGACTTTCAATTTGTCATTTTCATCAGTGGAACACACAGATGTGGCAACATATTTTTGCGGAACGTTTAGTTACGGACATTTTTTCTTTGGAAAAGGGACTAAGCTGATCCTTGAAGAACATGCTGGTGGTGAGTATGAAACAATTCAGAGGACTGATTAACAGCTTCGTTTGAAAACATAAAGCAAATGACATTTCTGTTTGATTTTGTTATTACATATATTCAGGAAAATATAAATATATGTGTCATAGTTCTTCAGGATCTTTACTTTGGTCTTTGTTACTCTCAGTTTATTTGCATAATTTGAGATCTTCTTTAGGAAGTTTGAGTCTGGCTAATCTGCCATCTATGTTTGGTTTTCAAAATAAGATGAATTTATTACTTTATTATGTACATCTCTTTCACAGCAGTTTCACCAAACATGACAATTAAAGACAATGAAGTGACAGATGGTGGGTGTGAGCTGGTTATCATCTCTTGTCACACAATAAAATGTGTTTTCCTCTAAAGTTACTTTGCTGGGAATCAATACCATTGAATTATTATTATTTGCAGTGTAAAATGTACCATGATATGTTTAAATTACTAATTCAAATGTAGCTATTTTTGTATGTAGCTTTATATGACATGAACGGCAAAATAAAAAAAAAAAACATTCAGAAGTATTTCAGTTAAATAATTGTCCTAAATAATGTTTGTTGTGGCGCTAGGAAAAATGCAAGTGTCTGAATACCTCATTCCAGTATTAGCAGCAACTAACGGGGCATCAATACTTCTCTTCATTTGGCTCTTCTTAAAAAAGAACCGATCAGGTTAGAATGATTGTAAAAATGCTGCTACAAAGTAGCAACAACAATCCATATTTATCCACATATTAAAATAATACGGAACTGCAATTAAATTTTTATGTTGCAAATTGAACCTCGCCTTACATATTCGCATATATTTCTTGCAGGTGTGACACATGAAGCCAAGGATGCAGATGACAAAGTATGTGGTAATTAAACAGTTTGAAGAAATTACAATATTTCGTTAATCTATGAAAAAAACTCAATATTCTCTACATCTGTCATAGATTTAATGTGCTCTCTAATTAGTGCTTAAATGATGACATGTTTACTATTTGACTTCTCTGGTTAAACAACAGACAAATGAAGTAAACTATGCTGCTCTGACCTTTCACAACAAGCAGAGGAGAACCATACAGAAGAAGACTAATGTGGACCCTACAGTTGTATATGGAGCTGTACGACACCAAGAAGGATTATAACTCTATCACCTTATAACCTATCTTTTGCATGTCTATATAATGTTCTGTAAAGTCAACCATATTTTTAGCACTGAATCAGTGATTCATACAGTAAAAAATAAATAGATAAATAAAAAATAATTACCATTTACTTCTAAATAGTGTGCCATTACGAGTTTAGGAATGATGGTGATATTGAGTATACTGTTTTGCTACTCTGTCTCCACCGCTGGTCTTTAGGGAAAGAATACATTTGACATGAATAATTCAACAATAATTTAACACCGTTGTTAACTAACAATGAAATAATTGGTCCAAACAGTTAATCAAGTAATAATTAATTCATTTGACTTTTTTTTCCAATTTTAATCCACAGATAACATAAAAAAACACTTATAGTATCTACCAACTTCCAGCCTATGCATAACCAGGTACATACAGGCACAGATACAGGTATTTATGACATTAAACAGATACAAAAACAGATACAGATAGTGGTGTTACAACACTTAGACCCAATCCCATTTCATCCCTTGCCCCTACCACTTAACCCTTAGCCCTCAGTTTTGTTGAGATGAATGGGCATGGCAAAGGGTTAGGTCTACATGGCCCTGCATGACCCAGGTTTTTTAGAGGCACACTCCAAACGGAGCGTCATGAGGAAAAAAAGAAAAAATGGCAAGATGGCTGTGTAAGCGACCAAAGAAACCCCACAAACTCTACATTTACAAAAAAGTATTTTTTCCTATTTTAATGTCGTTTCGATGTATTATAGTACTTTTCTTCATAACAAGCACATATGCTAACAGTATGCTAATGTCTCGGTAGTTGGTTAGCTAAATTTCCTGTTTCACTTTAAATAGTCCAGCAGTGCTGCTAAAGCGACAGAATGTAACTGCTTTAAGGTGGAACAGGAAAACTGGAACAAGAAGCTGGCGAATAGCTGACTTCAGCTTCATATAAACAAAGAATTAGCGGAGGGCAATAATAAATATTTGTCAAACCTTACCCTCACCCCCAACCCCCCAGTGACTCCGTTCCAAGGGGGAAGGTGACACTCGAAAACAAGGGGTAGGGGTAAAAACAAGAAATGGGATTGGGCCTTGTTAGCATCTGGATATGTTGCTCCTGTATTATTAGCCAGGAAGGTTGCTGCCATTGGTTACCTCTTAAAGGGGAACACAGGACACATCTCACAAAGCACATTAAATTTAGTTACTTCAGTTCCATCTTCAAAAAAAACTAACAAATGAAAATGCAGTTAACTCTTATTATGACAGCTGTTAATAACCCAGGTTTTACCCTGCTGCAGCTGCAGTTCTAACCTGCACAAGCCTGCAAGGTCTACCTATATAGGTTGTCCCAATTCTCATTTTGCTGGTTAAAAGCATGCTCTAGGGGACCCTTTGCCACACTTAGTGAGGCTGGATGGGTTTGTTTAAAGCAGCCTGACCAACGTAGTGGAGAAGATATTCAGGTGTGAATTAAACTGCTCTTGTTTATGAATTTAACTTGTTATAAATCTGCATAATGATTATAATCTAGCCTGAGCCACTGTAGCAAATTAGCAATTAGCAAATGTTTGAATGCTCACAATGGATATGGTACAATGCGTAGCCAATACATTACACAATGTGTCCCAAATGGATGCTTTTAAACCTAGCCACCCAAAAGATGAGACGGCATCACGTGGCATAACTAGGGGCTATGACTGCAGTAACTTGGTAACCTGGCACTGAGCACAGGCCTAGATTTGAGTGTGTTTTAGCTTTTTGTCATTACTTATCATCTCATAACTTATCATTGTGTGACATAGCCTAGACCTACGTCTTTCTATCAGCACTTCAAAACATATAGTAATGTTACCTAAGTCATAGAACTGCGAGATATTCAACAAGGCCATTAAATTTTACTGTTATGAGACACAAAGCACTGGGTTTGGTCCTTCAATCCTTCACTACTCTAAGTATGGTGTTTATAATATAGTACAATGAATGACTACAGTGCTAAGTTTAGACACACTAAAGAAGTAAGTAATGAGGCATTTTTTGCTTAATCTAGGATAAACTGGGCAAATGAATGTTAGCTTCACATATCTAATTGGCTAACATAGATCATTTTAGTTCATCAGCATTTATATTTCTACTAACATAAGTTTTATTAAGAGTCTTGGTCTGCCATGGGCTTGCCCTTTACTAACCTAAAATAGGATAACACAGTACACAGCTTCCTCTACAGCCTCAACCTCCTTTTTAAACTGCTCTCTGCTAACTTTCCTCCCACTCGCCACTGCCTTTGCTCTGCCCATAGCTTTGTTCTCTGTGTGTTGTCAGAGGTGGTTTCAGGAAGAGGCCTAAGGGGTACTTGGGTAGCTGCAATGTAATGTAATTTTCAAAGTTAGAGCAATGGTGAAAGAAACTTTGTGGTTGCAATAAAGCTGGGCTTTGGCTTAAGTTTCAAACCCCAACCCCTAAAGGCAGAGATGGTATGATTTCTTGTTCCTCTGCCGAAATGGGTTGCTGTGCCATTCTTTTCTATAGTTTCTTAATTTGCTGCATACTAAAAACAAATTGGTAGCTGATGAGTTACAAGAACCCACAAAAAAAAAAAAATAATATAATTAAAATATTTGATACAGATAGACTAAATGAAAGCTGCCAAGTTTTGGATTAAGCTACATGGAAGACTCAGCTCAATGTCAAAACTACTAACAAGCAGTTCTAAAGAAAACTAAACTTTATCTAGGTTATTGTATTTGCTAACACCCAATTTAAATGTGATGTCCAACGATAAATTACACACAGAACAATGTTAAAACCAGGTAACATCCTAGGTTGCAAGTAGCAAATAATATATTAGATTAAACAGGACTGTATTTGCATTTGCATTTCTTGTTCAGGTAAATGTTAAAGCACTCATACTCATGCCATCCTTTGCATTGCTGTCACTGTGGTTTGATAAAAGCCCTTGTGCATAAGACAATAAATCCTCTTCAGCATATTAAATTCCACCGAATAGCTCTTTAGCCTTAGCTCATCAGGAGGGGGCACCTCTGTCTCTATTTCCTCCTGAACTGACACTAAAACCTGCTGCTGCAACTTTCAGAAGCAAAAAAAAAAAAATTGGGGTGGTAAAGATTAACATGGGTTTCAGAATATTTTGGTCTTTAAACTGACCTACATTTGTATTTATTTTCTCTGTTCTTATGCTGGGATCAGACTACACAAAATTTTGTCATTCACAATTGTCACTATGTTAGATGTTAGATAGTGCTATAAATTCTGGCCATGGCTTGTTCGGAAGACTGGCAACACTAGAAGTTTGACGCCGAGCAATCATCTGTTCATAGGTTATCGAGGAAGAGGGTCAATTTGGAAATTGTCAATCAGTAACTGAAATCCAGAAAATAGTAAATACAGCTCCAGTTCTCCTCACTGACCACAGCATATTCATTTAATTTACATACAGCAACAGCAGCATCCCTCATTCTCTTCACCATGTTTACATATGCACACTAGAGAGCACTCTGTCATCCTACTGGTGAGGTTATGTGAGAGTTGGGTAGGCAAAAACAGCATGTGAGATAAAGAGACCGTTGAAGTTTTAGAATCTCCTCAAAGACGTATTTATACTTTTGGGATTTTTTTTTTTCCATTTTTCAGTACAACACTACGGTGTACATAGTGCACACCAAGAGTTCATCACACCTAATTTTGCAAACAACATCCAGGATTTCTTCCTAAATACATCAAAAACTACAGGACTGATATATCAGTACAGACCTGATATTCACATTCAAAAGCTAATTCTACGTAATTCTGATCAAGTTGCTGGGACTATGTCATTAAAATTGACATAAAAGGCTTAGCATTCACTGAATACATATATATGCATCTTAGTGAACACTAGTGTGACCCAACTGACCAATCATATCACTGCATGTAAAAGTGCCAAAGCCCAGCCCCACCCACTTTTCCTTCATTATATGAGAGTTTGAATTTTAGATGAATTTACAGTAGAGAGGAGGGTCTTCTTTAAGCCAATCTCAGCATGACTGGATTATTATATCTGACTTGTCTAGTCGTGATCCAGTGTGAGTATACACCTTTACCTCTTCTTAAATTTATCTAATATTTTAAACACTTTGTACTATAAGCTTGTAAACAAAATAATGCAAAATAACATGTAAAAGGATGGAAATGCACAGTTTTAAGGTACAAATTTAGTAGTAAGCTACTTAAGGAGGTTAGGAGAAACTCATGGTATTTGTGCTTCATGCAATTATAAGGTGGACATTGTACTGGAAGTTTTGTCTCACAACTGGAGTCAACAGTGAGGGTCCAGCCTGGACTCTCCACCAGTCTTGAGTGCCATGCTCAGCTAGAAGGGCGCCTTTCAATATTCTGGATAAAAATTCCTCCTAACACGGCTCCAGTTTGTATAGCTGCAGCTAAAGGATTTTCAGATGTGACAATGTGTGAACAATTTAAAAATCATTCCAGAATCAAAGTCACATGGAAAAAAAAGACCTTCAATTTGTCAATTTTCATCAGTGGAACAAACAGATGTTGCAACATACTTCTGTGGGATGAGTAGTTATCCACATTTGTATTTTGGAAATGGGACTAAGCTGATTCTTGAGGAACACGTTGGTGGTGAGTATGAAAGCTGGAATTAAGACTTTTGTAAAACACGTAGAGGACCAATAGGACATTTTAAGTATTCTTTGCTTTTATTTGAAAATAGCAAATGGCAAAATGTTCTGTGTGTATATAAACAAAAACGTATGTATATTCATAAGCATAAACAAAGACACTATATTAAAGTATACATATGAACAAATTAAAAATAAAAGTTCTACACATGAATGCTGCAAAAATAAATATGTTCTTGTGCAAATTGCACTTTGTGTTATTATAAAAGACCACTGCCATTGGTTGGGACAGCATTATAAAACAACACTTGAGAAAACTACAGTTGCGGGGAGAACAGTAAGCAATGAATGGTATCTCAAGCATTTA